GAAAAACACGAACGAGGTGTGCGTTTGTGTGACTTAGCGTCCCAGTACCAGTACGCTAAGTCTACCATTGCTACCATTCTTAAGAACAAGGAAGCTATTAAGGGTGCATGTGTTGCTAAGGGTGTTTCTGTGTTGTCTCAGCAACGGTCTCAGGCAATCGAAGAGGTTGAAAAACTTCTTTTAATTTGGATGAATGAAAAGCAGCTAGCAGTGGACAGTGTGAGTGAGGGTATTATCGCCGAGAAAGCACGGCAACTTCATTCGGATATCATCAAGAGGCAACCTGGAAGTTCGTCATCCATTGATGATTTCAAGGCTAGCCACGGATGGTTCGAGAAGTTTAAGCGTCGTACAGGGATTCATAGTGTCATTCGTCATGGTGAGTCAGCCAGTTCTGACGATAAAGCTGCCGAAGCTTACAAGGAATCATTCCTCAAGATGGTGGAAGAAGAGGGCTACGTTCCTCATCAAGTGTTTAATGCTGATGAAACCAGGCTTTTTTGGAAAAAGATGCCGAACCGGACTTTCATTACACAGGAAGAGAAGTCCGTCCCTGGGCATAAGCCTATGAAAGATAGGCTAACCCTCCTGATGTGCGCCAATGCCAGTGGCGACTGTAAGATAAAACCAATGTTGGTTTATCACTCAGAAAACCCAAGGGCCTTCAAGAAAAACCAGGTGGTTAAATCCAAGCTTCCTGTAATGTGGAAGTCCAACACCAAAGCTTGGGTTACTCGTCTCCTGTTTATGGACTGGATGCATGATGTTTTCGCTCCTTCAGTGAGGAAACATCTCGAGGAGAAAGGACTCCCTGTCAAGTGTCTTCTTCTCCTTGACAATGCCCCAGTGCATCCACCAAGTTTGGAGGAGGAACTTCAAGGTGATCTTGAATTCATCAAGGTCAAATTCCTCCCTCCCAACACAACTCCCCTCCTGCAGCCCATGGACCAGCAAGTGATCGCAAGCTTTAAGAAGCTTTACACTAAGGCTTTATTTACTCGGTGCTTTCACGTGACCAATGACACCAACCTATCCCTTCGGGATTATTGGAAGGACCATTTCAATGTGTATCATTGTGTTCAACTGATAGAAAAGGCTTGGCATGATGTTACCTTTCGAACCTTGAAAGCAGCATGGAAGAAGTTGTGGCCCGCATGCATCCTTGAGAGGGATTTTGAAGGATTTGATCCTCTAGACTCTGTTGTTGTGAACGACATTGTTTCCATGGGACAGAGCATGGGACTCCAAGTGGATGCAGATGATGTCGAGGAGCTTGTTGCTGGCCATGATGAGGTCCTCAACACAGATGATTTGATTCGCCTTCAAGAGGACAAGCAGAAGGAAGCCATTCAGGAGTTGTCATCTGAGGACGAGGAGGAGGAGATGGCTGCAGCATCAAGTGAGAGCATCAAGACCATGTTAGCTAAGTGGAGTGATGTGCAGGCTTTTATCGAACAGTACCATTCAGAAAAGACTGTGGCTATGTGAATCATCAACATGATGAATGATAATATGATGCCTCAGTTTCGTAAGACCTTACAACTCAGAAAGCAACAGGTGTCAATTAAGAGGTTTTTAGTCAGCAAAAAGGATAAAGAGTCTCCTTCGAAGAAGCAAAGAAGAGAAGCCACACCGGAGGTTGAGTTACCTACAGTCCTTATGGAAGGTGACTCTCCTTTCAAACAGTAACTCCCTCTCTCCCTCCAACTCCCATTCCATTCCATCAAGCCATCAACTACCATCACAAAGGTAAATAAAACGACTTTATTGTACAGTACAGTTTATTTCTTTAATTACAATACAATAGCACATTTATTATACATATAATAAGGTATATTTTTGTGTAGTTTTAAGGC